GGCGACGCCTTCCGGGCGGCGCTGGCGGTGGCGCTGGCGGAGCGGCAGGCACGGGAGGGCGGGATGTGGTTGAAGACGGAGTCAAAGACGACCTGAAAGGGAGGTCTTCCTTTACTTCCAGTTGGTCAAAATATAGTCGACTTGGCTTTTTAGAGCGGAAGATTTTAAACAAACTGAGGAAAGAGTGGAAGTTTTGGGAAGACTTAGCCTCAGTGTTTTGGGAATGCGTTTTAAGAGGTTCTTCACCGTACCCTTGGGTGTTGAGGCCCCTTTTTTGCGTTTGAATCGGTGGTGGTGGTGGTTGTGGTGGCTTGTTTGGTACGTGCGAGGCTTGATTTGGAAAGGGTAAGTCTTTTCAGTGCAGGTAGGAAGCCGCCTTAAAGTGGGGCTGAAGCGCTCAAGGACAACAAGCAACTCTTTGAGTATGCATCTCCTTCAAGTTGTGTGGAAGATGCCTTGTGCGGCATCCAAGACTTGGAATGATTTTCCTGCGCCAGCCGTTGCCTGATGCTTTACGCCTGGCCAGCGCGGCCGGTGGCCTTGCAGTCTCGCGCCAAGGTGCTTTCGTCGACGGATTTGGGAGTTGGGTTAGGTTCGTTCTGACAAGGTGCTTGGTTTGAAGCAGGCATGATTGATGTGAAGGATGCATGATTTGATGCAGTGAGAGATGTTGGGGATGTTATCTTTCTAGGTGTTTAGCGGAAGGTTTGCCATGGTGATGGCTTTTTTGAAGCGGATCTGCGTCAAGAAGAGAATAACAGCAGACCATATTGGAAAGCCACTGTGGTCGAGTTCTTGTCCTTTTTCCTGGAATTCTCCAGCTTCCCCCGTCTGTTCCTGCTGGTTCGATCGCCAGCAGGATGGCAATTGGTGTGAGGATTTGCGGAGCTCGGAAGATGACATCGACCTTAACAGATTTGGTTGTGTACATGCGAAAGCCTTGGATGGGTCTTCCATGGTTTCGATATTCCATGCACGCCATTGTTGAGGCACAAGGATTTCAGCAAGCAAAGCAATGGTCAGGAGTGATAGCAGCGGAATAGACGGATAGGCGCCGTCCGTACCATCACGACATCAAGTTTAAAGACCCAAGACTTGGACCTTTGTCTTAAGATGACAAGCTGATCACATCCGGCAGTATCACTGGGCCTTTCGCTCCTTTCGCTTCCACTCATCTCCTCTTCAGTGTCTAGCGACTAGCGGCCATTTTGGTATCCTCAACTCCTGCACTCAAATGGGTCAATCAACCAACCAACCAACCAACCAACCAACCAGTGTTGGAGGCACCACTTGAGAATCGCGCCCAAGCGCTACGATTCCTTTAGGATCCTCTAGGTTTCAAAGCGCTTGTCTGCAACATTAAGGCCCCCCTGAAGAATTTGACAGTTCAGTGCCGCGAGAATTGTCTCAAAGCACTCTACCTAAAATCAATAAGGAAGACATCACACACACAACATATCTTCCACTTTCGACACTGCCAGATCCTACCAACTTGTGATTTCAAAGACCAATCCCATTCCAATCCCGTGGTTTTCCTTTGCTAACACTTTCTGAACCTAGCCTTCTGTGCTGCAGGTGCTGAACCTAGCCTTCCGTGGCGCGCCGAGTGCGAAGCCCTCCTCTCCACCCCTGACGCGGTCATCCCCGCCGCACCCAGCGCCACGGCCGCCGCGGCCGGCGACGCCGCGGCGCCGGGCGCCACGCGGCGTCCGCGGTTTGCGTCGAGGCTGAACTCGATGAAGGACAGGCGGGGTGGCAGTCCACTCGAGCAGTCGGATGAAGCTGGGTGGGTGACAAGCGTTTTTCTCTACAAGTTGCTCTTTTCCCAAATGGCGTGGTGATGTTGGCGTGTGTTGCCATGGCCAAGGGGCCCAAATGGAAAGGACCTGAGATTTGGGAGAATGCACCGTCATGGACCGTCGTGGGTTTTGCACCGTCCGCTTCCCTCGGCCAGGCCCGAGCTTTGGGACGGTCCCCTCGACGTGTTGGGCCTCATTGCGCGGCAGGGTCACGTGCGAGGCGCCCCAACTGGGCGACAGGGCGGTTCGGTGCGGGGTGGCGGAGGGTGCGTGACGGAAGCTTCAGAAGCTATGAACGTAGCTCCTGGCATTACTACTAGTAACAAGAAGCTAGGAACAAAGGTTCATCAAGGATGTTGAGTTTTGGGAAGCTCATCCAGGTCTACAAGACTTGTGGCAATCGCGCAACAGAAACCCCGGTTGACTCGAATCGTATGCGTTCGCCCGTTCTGTGACGCCAGGCAGTTCTGTGCCACGGAGTGACCTAGAAATGTCTTTGTATTTGCTAGTAGCAAGGCACCTTACTACTAGTAGCCATAGAAGCTACTAGGTGGAGGCCATCGCTATTAGGGTGGAGGTCATTCCTATTAGGTTCCTGTTGCTACGAGGATATATAACCAGAAGCATCTTGGCCCACCCTTCTGGACCACATGCTGGTCGCAGAGCATGCGTCGCATGTCGCACGGCTCCGCGCGAGGCTTGGAGCTGGTCTACTTGAACTTTCCGCAGCACTTGGAGACCTTCGACATCTCAGAGGCCTCTACAGTGCTGAGAGCTTTGCAAGAGGCCAAGCTGCAGGCAGGAGGCAGTTGAGGGGCTTATGGGGCTTGGGGAAGGGCATGAACAGGTGGCTTTCGAGGCTGACGGGGGGAAAGTTGGGTTTTTCGGAGGTTCTTTGGAAGTTCTTGGGACGGAACAGCCTTTTCGCCCCCCTGAGAGAACGAACAGCTCCATCCACGTGTCACGATTGGGGTCGAGTCCCGGACCCTTCAACTTTCCTTGCTCGCGGCAAGGTGGGGCCAGGTCCAGGAATGGCACTGCTTTGGGGACTGAAACGTCTCGTGAAACGCCTTCTGTGGAAGAACGTACTTCGCAAAATTTGTCCCAACGACAAGCCTTCTTCTTTGCCAATTGGCTCACACCATGGAAGATGTCCACAAGCAGAGGGAGCATATGGAAGATGTCCACAATACTGGCGTTTTCTTTGTTCCATGCTCTATCCGCAGGAAGAGCAAAAAAAACTGTTTGTGTTAAAGCTAAAAGTTGAAGCCCCTTTTCTGCTGGATCTATGTATGCAATTTGTTCAGGATCAATCGCATGAACTCCATACCAAGACTGGACTTAAACTCTGTTTTGGATTGGGAACACGAACATCTGTAGATACTTAACACACGCTCAACGCTTGATATTGTTTGGTTTCCTCATCTTCCGGACTTGCTTCCTGCTTCCTTCAGTTGCAGGACGGGAGGGGAGAGAGAGAGAGAGAGAGATTCATCATCTGTTTGGTAGGCACTGAGGGGAAGCCTGCGCAGCACAGGGAACCCAGCCCTGATAGGGAGCAGACCAGTCTTCATAGCCAATACTCGTCATAAGTCACAGCTGTGCAGTAGATCCTTCAGCTTGGAATGGGGTTGATGTCCAGGCCCAGGCTATAATCTTCAAATCACTCTCAGGCCTAGTGGGGATTTCCCGAAAACTCTTCTTTTTTGCTTCACCAAGCAGCTCCCGCATCTCAAACAACCGGAGAAACGTGTGCAGGTCGAGCCCATCCTTTTGATTCATTTAGTGAGACATTGGGAGATACTAGCATCCCTGAACAGTTTTTTCGCCGTGGACTGTGGACTTGTGTAGACCTGCCCTCAAAACACAAGGCAGGTGGCCTTGCCTTGCGCTTCCCAGAGCACATGGGCTTGGGTGCCTTTACAAACCCGAACGAGACGGTGAGGAAGGAAGCAGTACCTGGGACCTGAGACGGTGAGTGGGACATCCCAGCGGTGAGTGGACGTCCTACATTCTCTTTTGTGGAAGAAAGGAGAAGATCGAGGGGCCAGGCACTTTAGAATTCTGTGATGGGGGGGTGCTAGTGGTGCTTTGGAAAGAGGTTTGCACTATCGGCATCATTGAAAGGTCAAAGGTCAGGCAGATGCTTGTGCTTCGCAAACTCAACCATCCTTCATATCCATATAACTTGGTTCTCCGGGGGTCTAACCTCTGGTTACCCCGCTGGTCTTCACGGCGAAACCCAGGTTGACCTCACCCTCCGCGCCTGTGTCTGGGCCGAAGCTTTGGATGCCAACGAGGTGGTCGTCCCTGAGCTGCATGATGCAGTGGGAGTCCAAAGCCAGGGCGGGGGACGACCGATTGAAGGGGAGGGCTTTGTTTTTTTCTGGTTTGAAGGTCCAAGATCGGTTTGGGAGTTGATGCAGACATTATTTTTTTCAGGTTTCGGGGATCTTTCAGGGGTGTGATGCAGACATCGTTGTTTCTCAAGCTGATCACGCCACAGATCGCATCTGACCATCCCGATGAGTGAGATGGAGCAAAATCATGCAACATCGAGTCATGTCTGACCTCTGCCAAGAAGGCCCCACGAGTTCTCGTGCTCCGAGACACGTGGCCGGGTGGTGAAGTCGGGTGTGGGGCGGGTTTTCCGGGAAGATTTGACAGGTGTGGCCACAGACGGATGGCTACGACTATCAGCTGCAAGTGGACTATCTGGTGGCCTGGTCACGTGCGGTGGACGCCTTCCGAGCCCCGGCAGAAGACGCTGAGCGGGGGGGGATAGGAAAAGGTGGGTAGATTGCTGTCCACCTGGTCGTTCGTACGGAAGATGAACCAATTGCAATATTCATGCTCCGGATATTTTTTTTGGTCATGACCTCGTTGGAGAGTTGGGGGTGAATCCGGGGCAGGATGAGTGATCAGAAGCGGTTTCCAGGCGTTTCTTGGTTTTGTAGACATCTTGCCTTCAATCCGCCCAGACTTCTCTGCTTGGCTTCTCATTCTCGGTCCCCATACCCCCTTACCTTGCTGTCCTGCCTTGCTTACCAAGCTGGCATGACCAGGAGAAGTGCTTGACAGCCCTTCGTGTCGCAACAAGAAGGTCTCCTTGGAGTTCAAGCCCACAGAACCTGGGACGTGCCATCAAACGACGCACTGGTGTGGGGGGCCGGATGCCGGTCATAAAGGTGGGATTTTTCACCGAAGAGCCATGGGATTTTTGCACATCGTGTCATCAGGTTCGTAGGATCTTGGAAATGGCGAAGCTGCCTGGCGCAGCGAAGTCCAAGATGGTGGGTTCCATGCACGTCTCCGGGGGCTGCCTGGAACAGTGGACATTTGATTTTCCGCTTTGCCACTTCCTGAAGTGGTTGTGACTTCGAGACAATCGGTCAGTGATTCCGTACTAATTGGGATGAACGTAAAGAGGCATCGAAACGACAAGGCTCCTGCGAACATGCCGCCATAAGCAGCTAGCTCTGCCTCGAAAGGATGTTCGGAATATCTGGTTCTGATGGGTGGATATGGGTGGATGGGACGTTTGAAACACCTTCCACTCTCCTCCTCCAACCTGGAACAGTAGATGTGTCGTTGCTCACGCATTTGCATGAGAGGCGATTTTATGTACCATTCCTGGAATCGCTTGAGCCAGAGAAATTCACCGTGCTTCACCGATTTCCCTTGATTTTTGCATTACTGCTATAGGTTTTGTCAGCAACATCTACAAAAACACCCTGCAAACCAACATGAACAACCAATATGGACCTTGAAACCAAAATGCTGAAACCAATATGGACCTGAACACATTGCCATTGCACACATCTGCAAACCAATGTGTTGAAACCTTTGTGGGTGAAGTGGACTACGTCCACTCCTTGGTTCCCAGCCGTTGTACACAGGGTTTGCGTTTCGGGGCCGGACGCAAAACGCCCCGGTTGGCGGTGGCCCAAAAAAGAACACCGCCACAGGAGGTGTCAACCCTCTCAGAAACCGTCTAAACAGTCTATCCCGTCAAATCAGCTTCTGAAAGAGTAGACCCGGGGTGTGAGAGCCCGAGCGGGCCCGAGCAGCCCGAGAGCCCGAGGATGAGATCAGCCGTTTTGCCATAGTGCCCAGCACTGGAGCGGCGCTGCTCTTTGCGCAGCAGGTGAATCGAGAGAACTTTGGGTCTCTCGAACTCGGAACGGAGCGTGGATCGATGGGAAAGGTAGATGAGGACACCTTTGAGTAGACAGAGATGAACATATTTCTGCCGTGGAAGCGTCCTGACTGTTCTGGGGAGTTGAGTGGAATAGATTCGATGTTTTGTTTTTGCCCCTACTTCCTTTGACTTTTTGTCACCAAGTAGCAAGAAGTTACCCAGTCATCGCCGGATAGTCCGTCATCTAAAGCCACTCTAGAGCCTAGAGAGAGTTGCACATCAACTTGTCTCCACAATCAGTCAGTCCACCTTGAAAGATGCACAGATCGCCAAGTGCGAAATTTTGTAGGCTCCGCAAAAGCATTCTTCACCTTGATACAGCTCTTCGCCCAAGACTTTTTCTAATGCTGCTACCGCTTCAATTTATAGGACCCCCAAAGGCAGCTCTGTGGCGAGGTGAGCTGAACAGAGCAGCTCTCCCTCTGCTGTGCCCACGTAGCCATACGGGTCGGAGGATTTTCGCTCCTGTTGCTGGCTGAGGTTGACCTTGGACGTGGGGCATCTGCTCATGGCGGGCGAAAATCCGGCCCAGTCCATTGCAATGGTAGGCGATTGCCGAGTGCGTTTGGTGTTTCTTCTGACCGGCAGACCAGCTACAGCTGCGTTGACACACCTCCACCCAAGCAGGGGTCAGAGTCTGGGTTCTCCCTGTTTGACCACAGAAACATGTGGCCTGTTGTTTTGGAATGGGCCTACCAAGCTTGAAATATGAGCGAGAGACACCCACGCAGCCAAATGCACTTATAGCTCATATCACCCACCCAACTCCCTGATTTCGTTGATCATGCTTGGGAAATATGCCGCGCCAATAGAAGGCCTCAACACAAAATAGCAGGGTCGTGATTGGATTTTGACTCTATCCGACGTTCTTACATCAACTTGTGTGGCATCTTCATTGGTATTTGCATGAAGAAACGCCCATCGCTTGGTAATGCATCCAACGATGTCGCTGTGCCAGGCGCTGCAGGAAAGCTCTTTGGTGTCCATTTGAAGCTTGGAATTCAAGCTAGAGGAAAACAACCAACGTGAGGAGCAACATCGAGGTGTATAAGTAGTGAACAACCGATGGGTTTCGTGTGGTCTCTGGCGGTCTCCTTATTCTAATACATACTCAAATCTCGTTTTTGAGAGACCAACTCCTACATCACCCAAAGCACTCTACAGAGATCACTTTGCACTTTCAGGGTGAAGCTGGAGATGGGAGAACCGATGGGAGAACGAAGACCTTTGAATAGATTTTTGAGGAGAACCAGATCTGATCTGATCTGATTTGATATAAAACACCACATGATACATAACTGATATAGATCTGATCTGGAGATCTACACATGGCGCCGTCATCCGCACCGGGTGCCGGCCTTAGGAACGATGGCCACAGCCGCTTGGGTGCAGAGGATGGTTTGGTCTTTGGGTCGGTGCATCCGACCATGGCGCTGGAGCTGGTCGTGTGGCTGAAGCGTGTGGAGTACCAAGGGGCCATCTACTTCGATACCTTCCCTCACAATGAGGACGGCGAAGATTGGGGGGGCAGGGGGGCAGGCAGCGGGGAAGCTGAGGGATCGCCAGAGGTCAGGGGTTTGAAGGTGGTTTGAAGGTGGTCCGAGTCAGCCAAGTTGCTTTTCTGGTTTGGTGGCTTCAACTGCTGAAGGGGAGAAAGAAGTGTAGTGTTGTGCCATTGGTCTTTTGGCGACCCGCACAGCGACAGTGCAGCCGGGCTTGGGCGATCACATCACGAACTCTGAACAATGGCCGAACTCTGAAGATGTCCTCCTCATGTAGAGAGAGATTTCTGCCAACATTTTCTATGAAGAAAAGCACCCCCCCCCCAACCGACTCTTGCAATTCTCGGGTTTGCCCGGTGCACCGGCAAAACGAGGATCCGGTGCGGGAGGCTGAGCTGAACATCCGCCGCTTCGAGCGCTTGGAGCGGCGGGCGCAGCAGCTGGAGTCGCAGTTGAAGCCGCTGCAAGCGAGACACGATGCCATGGGTGTCTTAGAGCTCTTGGAGTAAAAATATCCAAGGAAAGGTCGAGGTGAAATGTTGCACAGAAGCTTTAAGAAGCTCCCTTCTGTCTTAGGGTCTTAGAGGCTTTGGAGCCGAATCCCTGAAAGGTGATCACAGGATGTCACAGGATGGGACGGTCGGGCGCTTCGAGCCCGTCCCGTCCACCAGGTAGCCTGATAGGTCATGCCCGGTCGGTCGGCATCCTGCACCCATAGCATTTCAGGGGAACTAGTGGTCTCTTTAAAGTTGTCCCTGCACAACGACACAGGGCTGCTGGATGGTCTCTCGTTGGCACAAAGATCCAGACATTTCAGCTGGGGCACCTCGACCATTCCTTGGATTGATGGATCTGCTGTGCGCAGAGGCGACGCGGAAAGAGACGCGCGCAAAAGAGACGCGCTTTGCAGCGTGAGCAGGGCTGATGTGCAAGGAAGAGACTTTGTCAAATGGGTTCACCCAATGATGAGCTTCGGATTTATCAGCTTTCTATAGAAGCGGCGGCTGTTCATTTCTTCTGCCGCCAGCCCAACTTCTCTCGAGCAAACCACAGGTCTATGATTCCTACAGAACAGGTTGGTGCAATTTTCAGCAGGCAATCCAAAACGCCCACCACACTGATTGCTCAAACTTCGCATGGCTTTGCTTTGTTGCCACAACCAAGAAGACGGGCTCTGATCTGATCTTGCAATGCATGTAGACTCTTGATTATAGTAAAACCTCCCCAGACACGGATGTGTAAGAGCCCTGCCGTGGGGGTTGAAGTATCATCTTCCGAGTCTACCACGAGGGTGCCCAATGACCTCGCAGGAGCGACCCCCACCAAGCGCGGGAACTCGACACTGAGATTTTCGAAGTGTTCGGAAGGGTGCAGGAGTTGAAGAGACAGACTGTTTCTGAAAAGGACATCGACGAAGTTTGGCAAGTCTAAGTCCTTCTTGGAGCTTTGTTTTCTATTTACATGTTTTTCATTTTTTCAAGGCATTGGAGTGGCTCACAAAGGTTTCTCGCATTCTTTCGCCAGCTATTGTATCCCAGGATTGTCCCCTTTGTGCTCGAGAAGTCTAGAGTCTAGAAGGAGCTGATGCCAGCCTAGAAAGGCTACACAATAGAATTTTTGAAAAAAATTGGTCACCACATCGCCGATTTGACAAAAGCAGGTCGAACCTCGGTATTCAAAAGGATCCATTCAACTCCAAGATTGATGAATCTGGAAACTCCGCGAAGATATCTCCGGAGTCGTGCATGGTTCCCTTTTGGCACGACCCAAAAGACCAGAAGTGATGCTTTTGCCACACCGTTTCTCTCAGACCAGTTTGTCAGGTCGAGGCAAGGTGGTCTGGCTCTCGGCTGTGTGGCGCGCACGGGGGGCAATCCGCAAGAGGAATTCTTGCCAAAAGGGAGTTTCCACCATTCCAAGCGACCATGGACCACAGCAGTTTGAGGAATCCTCATCTATGGGACATTTTCGGGGACGTCTACCTGTTCCGAGCTTCCTGTAGCCAAGAAACTGGAGTAAGTAGAGTTTACTGAGAAGAAGGACTTCCCTTTTGCGAGGAATGATTCATTGGGGCATTATTGAGGTGGTGCAGTATTTTTCTATATCTGTTCTTTTGATGACCCATCCCATTCTCACATGGGTACTTTGATTGAAAGATCACTCGCAAACTTCCAGGCAAGTTGCCTCGTAGACCGGGCTACTTCTCAGATGAACCCAACCATGAACCCTACCTACTCGTAGCATCAAGATGCCTGGCTGGAGGGGCACAAGAAGACCCAGAGAGTTTTGACCCACCAAGCCAACGGTTCTGGCATCCTCCTCTAAACTTGCTTTTGCTTTGGGTTATTACTTATTATCCCTATGGGTCAATCCTCGTACCTCTGTACTTTTTCCCCTGCTCCGATTCAGCAAATCCCTGCGCCCAGCTCCCGGCTCCATCTGCCCGCGATTCCGCGGTGCGGTGCACGTCCGGGACCTAGGAACCGGTGCGCAAGGCCGCAGCCAGGCCTGCGCGCTTCGGGGCCTTCGGGCGTGGTCCCGACTCTTCGCTGGGCGGGCGAAGCGAAGCGAAGGTGGTCGATTCCCACCCCCACACGAGACGAACCGCAAGCTGCAAGCTGCACTGGTCGCATCTGCTGTGGGCGATCCTTGTACGGAGAAGCATAGATCGAAGAACTTCAAAAGCTGCAAGATGGTGTTCTTGCAACATGTGGGGTGTCTGGAAACTTGTCAAAACATGAAGCCCAAAGATAAGCAATTATTCATTTAGCATTCGCCTATCAATTTATGTGTGGCTGTAGCATTGTTAAACACAAGGGCTGTCTCTCTTTTTGTTCCATGGAATCTTCTTAACTACATTCCGCATATCACTTGCCTTGCAGAAAATGTCCATTTTCAATGCCAGATTTTAATCAACGTTCACTGTCAGCTGCCATTGTCGTGTTGAATAAACGAACCGGTGTGTGCTGCATGCCGAAGGAAGCCGGCGCCAAAGCCGACCCCAAAGACAGGTGGGGAAGGGCGGATGGAAGGAGGATAGAAGCAGAGGGATGCTAGTCAGGTGATGGGTAGGAACACAAGGTAGCTGATGCTTGTGGTGGTGATGAGGGTGTTGAGGTGCTTTTGGATGTTTGCACTTGAGTGAAGTGTGCGAATCGTTTTGCTGAAACCAACGTCAACAACCTGTTGAGCGACCTAAAGCGCAGGTGGATGCATTCTTGAATTATTCAATCTCATCATTTGTCCTTCCATATCCTTCCCAACATTGACATAGCAAAACCGCGAGTAAGTTGGGACAATGATGTTGAAGTGTTTGCCAATGTTCGAACACTGCGGGGGAGGGTAGCCAGTAGCCATGCCACCAGGCCCAGCCACATGAACTTCAAGCAAACATCCAGCCGACCACGCTGACACCTCTCCACATCTCGGCTTTTCGAGACGCGGTCGACGCGGTCGACGCTGTCGCATTGGATCCGCAAGAGAAAGGCTTCGTTGGAACATCTGAAAGCCTAGATTTGTTGGGGACCAAAAACTCATGTGGCAACAGTGCTACAGCACTAAAGAAGGCATATAAAGAAGCGCTTTTCAACCCGAAGCGACGTACATCTTTCAACCAAACTGAGACAATGGCACGTCTGACCGTGCTCAAGATCTGCCAGGTGTGCGCCGCGCGGCTGCCTCCCCTCGACGCGAGGCGCGTGGTTTTGCCTTTCGTTTCGTGATGGCCACGGGACACGGGTCTCTGGTGGCGCTTTCGGTGGGTGTTGGGGACCCTAACGGATACCGTACTGTAAGGTCCCCGGTGGTTTTGGTGGTCCGGTGTCGGGTCAGACTTTTGTGATTTCATCTTCGGAAAAATCCAGGTCTTGAAGATCGAGAACGCTTCGAACTGCAGTTCCGGATTTTCCTCCCCCCCGGGCTTTGCACCCGCCTCTCGTGCCAGATGGCCAGAGTCTGGGTTGCCAAGCCATCTCAGGGGGGGAAGGGTGGGGAAGTTCTGAGTCCTTCTGGGTCGATGATGTCGATGAGCTCCAGACAGGGCTGAAGCGCCAGGGGTTCATCTCTGGAACCATGTGTTAGTCTTTGGGATCGCATCAGCCCAGCTGCTCTTTGGTGGCAGGGGGGCAGAGGTTTGTAGAGACTCCTCCTGAAACGATCTGCGCACTTCAAGGCCTTCGCAGTTGGGATTGTTGGGAGCTGGGGGCGTGGGGGGAATCAATTGTCAGGTTGCTTTTGGGCTGTGTCCAAATGGCTAGCTGGTAGCTCTAGGACGACTTCAAAACATACTCGATTTCCCAAATCTGAAAGGGCATGTGACACTCAGACAAGAACAGACAGGTTTTGCAGGAATGAAGAGATGAAGAGATGAATAGAGCCCAGCATTTCTCAGGTTTTCCTGACTTTTGGAGACGATTTTCGATCCAAAGCCCTACAGAAGCACCGAAAGCTTTTCTCGCAGCACTTGCACATGGCCAGGATCCTTCAACCACCAATCTCTTCGTTGTTAGTGCTGCCAGGAGTTCTTCCGAGTCTGAACAGTCTGAACCAAATCCTTTCAAGAAACGTAGGAAACACTTCCATCTCCTTTGGGCCCAAACGCGCCTCCTTTTGGCCCCACGCGACTCATACCTCCTCCCCGCCACACGCAGACGCAACCAAGACACCGTGTGGCCGACCGCTCCGTGGCAATGTCCGTGGACTGAGGAAGGTGCGTTGTACGTCCATTCGCGTGAGCCGTTGCTGGGAGATCCCTTGGCCTGGGACGCCCAGCCGCGTGTCGTCCGCGTGAGCGTCGCGTGAGCTGTGCGAAGTTGTCGAGCCGTGCTGCGCCGTCGAGCCGGCGGGGTGCGTCCCTGGGGCGGCTGAGAGTCGCTGACGCTTCGTTGCCGATTGGAAGAGTGGAACCATATATAGGAGCGTCTCTTCTGTGGGGAGAAGTAATCGTTGTTCTACAGATTCTACAGGAAACGTTTGAGAGTGCCGTACTGTTGAGAAAGAGACCATTCAATTTGAGAAACGATTTGGGGATGCCACTTGGTTCGGTAGTTGCAGTAGGAAGGGCGTTCGAATGGTATCTCAATGGGTACAAGGTTATCCTTTGACTGTGGAAGCCTAAAGGCACACCACAAACTGTTAAACATGCCTGGGTCACCTGCCTCGTGTTTGAGGGGTGTATCGCTCTCTTTTGCACAGTCTACGAAGCAAGCCTTGGGATTGTATCTTTTCATCCTCGTCTGCGCGGAAGAACGTTTCAACGCGTGAGACAACGATCACCTGACCACCCTGTGCACCGCACATGTTTCGCTTGACGTGGCAAATTCATTCCTCTATGGGAAGTCGGTGTCTCCCCTTTTTCCATTTTTGGCCTGAACCAGTCACCGAAGGTTTCCGGTAGAAGCATGAAGCATTTTGGGGGACGAACCTGGAAGGGCTACTGTAGGAGCCAGCCTTCGGGCTTAAAAGAACGGGTTTACAAACTTCAAGACCTGAAATATCTGCGACGCATAGCGAAAAATCAACATTTTTGAAAAGAATAGGGATGG